AGCTCCAGGGTAACGCCGTTTCAGTCTAAGCCTGGCGCTGGGGCTGCCAAAACAAAGAGCCACAGAGCAGCGCCTAGGTCCATCATCTGGCAGTTCTGGGATGTGAGATCAAGGTGTCTCCCCGAGGGCTGGTTTCCTCTGAGGTTTGTCTATTCCTAATATCTCCAGGCAGTCTTCCCGTCCCTGTGCAGATGAGGATGCCCGCCATACTGGATTAGGGTCCGCCCTGATGACTTCGTTTTAATTTAATTGCTTCTTCTCCAAATACAGCCACCTTCTGAGATGCTGGTGGACTTTGGGACTCAGTTCAGACCAGTGTGGGCCAGATGGATAAAAAGGTGTCAGCCAGGCACACAGATGCGCAGGCAAGGGTGTCCAGCATAAGTACGGGGCTAGAAGAAAGGCCCTAGGATGCTGCGCAGATGTCACTGGTTGCCACTCTGGCCCCTCAGGTGAGATCTGCCCCCAGGCCAGCACCAGAAGCTTGGCCACAGCCGCAGCATCTACACTCTGCTCACCCCGTGTTACACCCCGATAGCCAAGCCTGACGGCTGCGGTGGAAACTGCCGTTGCCATTATGGCTGTGAACTCCAAAGTGGGGCACACCCTGGGTCACGCCTTCACTGGGGGCTCCGGCCAGAACCCACAAAGCCTGACACCACTTCCCGGGGACCAAGGGAGCCCTGGCTGGTGGCGCCACCCACTGATGGCCGCGTCTTTCCTGAGATCGAAGGGTTTCTGCAGTGTGTCCAGGATGAGGGTGATGTTAGGCCCTGTGAGGGTTTCAGTGCGGTGCCAGGCAATGCAGACTCAGAAATGGAGCCACCTGACAGGAAGTTCCAACTGCAGAAATGAGAAATCGGCTCTGACGGCAGGGTCACTTTAGTATAAAAATGTAACGGATGGCCGATGGCAGGAGAATCCTAAGTAAAGCCCTTGTAATGAACAGCTGTGTAACCCAGGGAAGGAAGGGCCCGTTCTCACTGTGTAGACATTCAGAGGTGTGTGGGGTTTCGGGCTGGCCCGTTTGGTCTCCTTAAACTAACTGTGTGGTGTTTTTATTTGTCAGTGATTTTATTTAGGGAGGGGTGGCAATTTGTCAGGAGAACTGTCTTGACTGTGAGTCCAGCCTAGGCTGCTTAGTGGCTGAGGACCCTGTCTCAAAAGCAGGAGATGGAGGGGACGACACGGGGGACGGGGAAGGAGGGGGCCGGGACACACGGGGACAGGGGATTTTATAAGGATAACGGAAGCCCTGGGAGCCTCGTGAAGTGTGTTAGTTTAGAGAACAATATGACCAGATTTGCTTTTCCTTATTGTATTTATGTATTTACATACTATAGTGCTGGGCATCCGACGCCGGGCTTCATTCATGCTAGGCAAGCGCTCTCCGACAGCACCATCTCCCCTATCCCCAGATCAGCCTTTAAGAAGGAGGCCTTGGCTTTTGTAAGAATGCACTAGCCCAGGTGGTGGCGGCGTACGCCTTTAATCCCAGCACTCGGGAGGCAGAGCCAGGCGGATCTCCCTGAGTTCGAGGCCAGCCTGGGCTACAGGGCGAGATGCAGAATAGGCACCAAAACCACACAGAGAAACCTTGTCTCAAAAAAAAAAAAAAAAATGAAGAAGAAGAGGAGGAGGCGGGGGATACTAAAGACTATGGCTGAAGCACAAGCTGAAGTGTGAGAGGCTACCACTCAGGAGAGAGGAGAAGGTGGGGTCGAGATGTTACTGGAAGGGATCAGGGACTGCAAGATAGCACCTGCCTGCCTGCTTGGGAAATGAAAGGACCAAGGCATGGATCATAAAAGGAGAAGGACCAGACATACAGAAGAAAAACGTGCCATGCCACAGAGAGAGCGCTTAGCATTATCCACCAAGCACTCTCTTGTAATTGGACCACATCTTATAATTGGGTGAGGAAAGAAGAAAAAAAAATCTACGAGTTCAGCCTGCCCTGGATACATTTTGTATCACTTACTTCAGACATTAAAAATTAATCAAAATTTCAAGCCCTCACAAGGCACAATGTGTCCGTCTGTCCTGTTTCCTCATTTCTCCCGTGTTTCCAGAACCTTCGAGAGGCAATGAGGCAGGCAAGATGCAAGAATGGTCGCTGTTGTTTGAAGGCATCCTGAAAAGAGCCAGGCGTGGAGTTGCACACCTGTGATCCCAACGGGAGAGGTAAAGGCCGAGAGGGTCAGGAGTTCAAGGCCAGCATCAGCTACTTAGTAAGTCTGAGGCCAACCTGGGCTCCGTGAGAGCCTGTCAAGGCCAAGACAAAACCATACCTGGGAATGGAAACGAGCTGCTTCCCACACATGTAGTGATGCCCATACGTGTGCTGCACACCACGTCACTACTCTACAGAAATTTTCCATGTAATCCTCACACCCTATAAGGCAGTTACGGATATCTCCATCTTACAGACAGAGAAATGCAGGATCGAAGGGTCAACTTGCTTGCTAAGGGTTACAAAGCTGCATAGAACCGTTAAGGATATCTCCATCTTACAGACAGAGAAATGCAGGATCGAAGGGTCAACTTGCTTGCTAAGGGTTACAAAGCTGCATAGAACCGTGAACTCAGCTACTTCCATTTGAAACTCAGGGCATTAATCACCTCCAGCAAGCCTTCCCTTTGAGAACTGAAGTAAATTTAAGCCCGTCCCAAATAGGCCTTCTTACCCCTCTCATGTTTCACTGAAAAATAATTAAGTATCATAGTTTAAAAAAAAAAAATCTCACAAACTTAGGCTCCATGTTTGAAAAGCTATTTAGGAGACTGAAGAGCTGGCTCAGTGGTTAAGAGCACTGGCTGCTCTTCCGGTGGACCCGGGTTCAATTCCCATCACCCACGTGGCAGCTCACAACTGTCTGTGGTGCTAGCTAGTTTCAGAGGATCCGACACCCTCACACAGTCACGCATGCAGGCAGAACACTCATGCACATAGAATAAAAAATTTTTAAGGAAGAAAACCATTTAGATCCAAACCCTTGGCTTAAGTGAGACCTGGTACATGGATATTGGAGACACACATGTCCTTGCCCACTGACCACTATGAAAACCCACAGGGGCCTCTCCTTAATAGAAGAGATGAAATATCTGTTTGTCTGCTCAGAAGCCTGGGAGTGGATTTCTTAAAGACCTGGTGACCTCTTTGCTGTGGAGGCAGACCTCACCCAAATCCCCAGAATGATTCATTATCCCAGACTTTTCCCTCCCTTACCCATCCTTAGGGAAGATTATCCCAGACTCTTCCCTCCCTAGACCATTATCCATCCTTAGGGGAGATGTCACATGTACTTCATGGCCTGCTGACCTCTATGCTGTGGGTCAGAGACCACACAAGATTCTAGGCCTTGAGCTACGCACACACCCTCATGTCACATGTACTGTGTAGTCACACCTTAAGCTTCATTGTGCACCTGGAACTGGACTGATTATTGCCTGGAAACCTTTTCCCAAACTGTACTGTGTTTTAAATATGCTGGCAATGAACTGCCTGGCATTAGACTCCCTGAAGTCTGATCCAGATCATTCTTATTTCTTCATGAGGTTCTCTCCCCTGCCTGGATACCTGCAGGGACCCCTAACACAGACTACCAAACTCCCCACTCACAAGAACAGATTTAAAAAGTCAAGACATCCACAGCAGCCCATGGCCAGCATGCAGAGACCTGGTACCCAAGTGACTGTCTAGGAATAGAATCTCAAGCTCCTGGCACACCATTGTATTTTCTTCTAGAACCTTAAGGCTATTTAAGTTGACAGCTAAACGTGTATGGGGCACACACCTGTAATCTCAGCATCGAGGCAGGAGGACTGTTTCAAGTTCAAGGTCAGCTTGGGGTACATAGTGAATACACAGCTACAGCTACAGAGGAAGACTGTCTTAAACATTAACTAATTCATGAATTAATTGGCAGCTACATCTAGTTTCAGTTCTCCGACTAATGAGTTTTGTGACTAAAACAAGTTCATCCCGTGGGCTTCAAGGATATCCAAATATCCACGAGGGCCACCTTGTCCCATGTCAGTGGTAGATCTGTGAATTTGCTCACTCGTTTGCTAAGCAACTGTGACGTGGATAATCTAGGAGCTCAGATAGGGTAACAGTCAAGACAACGGTCTGCATGGAAGAGGTTACAGTCAGCTCCTAGAGAGGAGATTCATGCAATAAACAGAAGGTACACGAGATGAATGAGGTAAGAGGCATGCGTGGTGTAAGCCAAGAATGAGGGGAAGCAGAGAAGGTCTTGGGAAGATTTGAGAGAAGAATGGGATGCCATTGATGGAAAGAGGAAGAATGCCGTCCCTGTCTGGGGGCCCTGCGGTGCAGGTGAGGTGGGAAGGGCAGAGGTGGAACCAAGGAAGAGGTGAGGTGTTATGCTAGCTGGGAGTGATATCTGAGGGGATAGCTGGTTCAAAACCACCCTTGAGCACTTGAATTTAACGTAGATTTCTCAGAATTTAACATAGATTTGATGGGCAACAGGGAGGCGCCTGTCATAGAGAGGAATATCTATTTTTAAGTGTATGAGAAAGGGTGGTTTTTAGGAGGAACCGGAAAGGCAGGACGCCACCGGGGAGGGATGAGCAGGGAGTGGTGAACGCTTTGATGAAGAAAGCGGCTAGAGGGGTGCATTTGGAAGGGCTTGAGAAATCAGAACTGTCCGTGGATTTGAGCAGTTCCTGACAGCACTGCCCCGGGGTATCCGCGCAACAGCTTTGAAGTCTGCGGTGTCTAGATTTCCAAGGGATTAGCGCAAGGCAAGATGGCGTCCGTCTTGAGAAGGCACTCTGTGAGGATGCAGTGTGGACAGAAGGAAAGAGAAGTTTAAATATTTCACTCTGCCTCTCTTTCTCCCCCTTAGCTGGGTCAGGCCGAGGGAAAAGGACAGTTCGACGGGTTAAGATGCAAATGATACAGAAGGTAGCCACGGCCATCGGTTGTAGAGAGATACTGAGTAGACTGGCTTTTTAGATTGTTTTATTATATTTTTAATTGACACACAACACTGCACATGCTCATGGGGATACCTTGGCTTCTGGCTGACAATGTGGCAATCCTGTCACCTTATTTACACCCTGTGGATCACAGACTTCTATGTGTGTAGGCACAGAATCCTCAGGGGAGAAGGGTCGAATGGCCCTGGGCTAAGACAAACACTGGAGGGAAACACTGGAAGGACTGGCCCATCACAGGAACCCAGAACTGGTCTGTGTCCTCTTTCACTGTCCGGCACACACGGCCAGCATCTGCTTTGGCTCATTCTTTGCGCCTCTTTCCTGTGTTTCAGAGCTGAGGACCGAACCCAGGGCCTTGCGCTTGCTAGGCAAGAGCTCTACCACTGAGCTAAATCCCCACCCCTGTGTTTTCTCTTTTTAGAAACCATGTCTACCTAGCACTAGACCACCCATTGCTTCTGTTTCCACCCTCTCCTACCACCATAGGCTCAGGATAACACACTGCGAGTGACCAGGCTTTGAAAATGGGATGTGTGTAAGGATCACAAGGAAGCTTGTTTGAAATACACGCTCCAGAGACAGTAAACGGCAGCTCAGGAGTCTGCCCTGAGCCAGCAGGGCAGCTCTGATGCAGGTGGTCCCCAGCCAGGAACATACTGATCCCATATGGAAACCAAACTCGTAAATGAGCATTTCTCGGGAAGCCTTTGGGCTGGTAAGATGGCTCAGAGGGTACAGGGAACTTGCCTCAAAGCCTGATGACTTGGGACTCATGCTGGAAGGAGAGAACTGACTTCTGCAGTTGTCCTGTGACCTCCACGTGCACTCTGTGGCGTGCGCGCGCGCGCGCACACACACACACACACACACACACACAAAGAAATACTTTGAAAATGTTTTCCCTTATATTCATGAAGAACTCTTTAGGCCCACTTTCCCCAGGGTATAAGCTGTTCTGGTTATTTTGTGACATGCCTATGATCTGAAAGAGCCACAATTTTCTTCCAGTGATAAAACAACACCATCTTCCAATGATATTGTTGGATAGATCCCACAATGTTGGTTGCATAACTCCACTCCGCCCTGACATTTCCAATTAGTCATAAAAATTGGCTAAGTCAGCTTCAGTATGCCAGGCCTCTTGATGAATATCCATCATGGATTGGCTCACTTCCTTTCCTCATCAATCGACATAAACACAACTCGACTCACAGGTCAGGCTGCTGAGCCAACATCTGAATGATCCCCAGGCTCACATGGGCTTCTGTGAATTATTTGGGATGCGCTCAGAAGCCCGTGGGATTGTTTGAAACTCCTGGTTCCATTGTCCCATGGAAAAGAAGAAAGAAAATAATTGATAGTGCATTTGGGTCAACCTAAGTTACAAACAGAGGGATTACCCAGAGATGAGGAAGGGTGGAGCGTGGCAGTGGACATACCAGTCCTTAGGATAAACCCCATGGAGTCAAGAAGGTGGCGGCAAGAGGGAGTTTTTAAAGGGCAAAGTGGGAAGGATTGCATAAGTTATTTTGAAATGATAACTCTTGGTTACAAGAACCAAAATAACATGGTGAGTGTCGGTCCAAGCTTCAGAAGGACAGTTGATAGATGTCCTTGCAGAAGGAAGCTTGTGGTGGCCTCTGTACAAAGTTATGGTTCTAGTATGCTCTTATCAGCTTGGATTCCTTCATCCAGTGCCTCCCAGCTTCAGTTACCTATTTATTTGTTTAAAATTTAACAAAGGTGCCTCCGTTTTTGACTTTTACAACTTTTGCATGCCGAATTAAGAAAAGCTAGGGGCTCTTGGAAAGTTGATGATTGAAAATGTTTGGGACAGTGGGTTGGAGAGATGGCTCAGTGGTTAAGAGAACTGGCTGCTCTTCCAGAAGACCCAGGTTCAATTCCCAGCACCAAATGGCAGCTCACAACTTTCTGTAACTCCAGTTCCAAGGTACCCAACACCCTCACACAGACATGAATGCAGGCAAAACACCAGTGTGTAGTAGGATCTTTTCATTGGGACCTCTATCTCCCCAGTAATGACACAAAGACTTATTATTAATTATAAAAGCTTGGCCATAGTTTAGGCTTGTTACTAACTAGCTCTTAAAACTTAACCCATTTCTATTAATCTATGCATTGCTATGTGGCTCTTGACTTTATGTGTTCTCCAGAACGCTTGCTCCCTCTGCATCTCCTAGTGACCCCACCTT